TCCCTATTTATTTCAGAACCCCCTTCCCCTCCCCCTTTTCTGATGAAGGGTCTAGGCCCGAAACGTCAGCCTTTCTGCTCCTGTGAAGCTGCTTGGCCTGCTGTGTTCATCCAGCCCTGCACCTTGTTGTCTCGGATTCTCCAGCATCTGCAGTTCCTACTATCTCTGATTCAATTTACTTTTTGTGGTGAAGCCCACTACATGCCGATGTTCTTATTCTAGAAGTCACTTCCAGAATTACCTTGTTTCATTTGTCTTCTACACACTGTGTCTCAATGGGGTGGTGGCAGTGTTAATGTTGAAGTACCTGAGCTATGATATCAACGTGACACTCAAATCTGTATTTCTTGAAGTTGGCCATGAAGGTGCTGATATACCAGGTCCCATGGTATATTTTGATAAGTGGAAGATGTCTGTACATCTTTTTTTCAATGTGGTCTCAGCAGAGAAGGGACTTGATCCAACAGCAAAGGCATTCCCAAGACAATTGGAGGCTAGACTATGAGACATTAGCATCTCCATGCATGACCATATTCCAGTGTGCATGTAACTTGTTGCCAGGAAAAGACTGAAATTGAGAAATCTGCAGTGTACTGCAGATGATTTTGGAGACGAATTGCAGAGCAATGTTAACAGAATGCAGAAATCACCATGTATCAACACAAATTGCATAACCAGCCTATCAAGTTTGTTGCAGTTCACCAAAAACATACACTTTGATGAAGAGGAGACTTTGGCTATTTCTTCTGCATTGGCAGTTAAGCTGCTCTGAATCTTGAATACATTCTGTATCTCAGTAAGGCTTGTTGATGATTAATTGTATGCATGAGGTATGAGGACATTTGGTAGCACAAACCATAATACATAAACAGTTCATGTGAGAAATAAATAATTTATAAAAAGAACGGAAGATTTATACCTCTCAATGCAATTGTTAATTCTATTTGAACATAAGATATTTAATAAATAGATATTTATTTAGTTAGTATACTGAGTGACATGCAAATGAACAAATTTTGAACCAGCCAACATATTTCTGCAATTAATCTTACTCATGTTTAATTTGTTTGTCATTGAAAGTATTTCACTAATTATTGGATGATTTGAAGCTTTGAGTACAATTGTCAAAGGAACCTTTTACAACATGCAAAATGATAAATCTTCAGGAACCAACAGATTCCCCTGTGGGTTCTGTAAACAATTTTGGTCAGCCTTAGTTCACTATTTATGGAGTTAATTAGACTCTTCAAAAAATGGCTCCTTTCCAACCACAAGTAAAAGTAGTACTTGTCTGCAGTATTTATAAAAATAAACCTTTTGGATTATGGTTTCTATTGACCAATGCCATACTAGGGAAACATATTAATTTCAACTTTTCCAAACTTTGAAAGGAATCAGTTGAAGAACTAAGGACCGAATTTAGTAACGATCATGTGGAAATTAAGTAAATATATGCAATTTTGACAGCTGTACTGGTGTCAAAATAGTCTTCTCCTAGTGGTGTGAATTTGAAATATTCTGGAAAAGTAGTTGTCCCTTACAGTAACTGGCTAAAATCAATCCTGACCACTTTCACCAGTAAGTTCACCCTATTCATCATGAGGACCTTTTTAACCTTCCCATTGTTTACAGGAACTAAACGTTCTTTATTTTAACCCTGCTTTCTCTACTGTTTAAAAGATGAATTTTTTTCAACAGTTGCTAAATTAAAAGATTTTAAAAATGGATCAAAGTTGTGGTGTTAAAGTTGTTTTTCTTTTAATCCTGCCATTTTATTTTCTCTTTATTGGAATTTAGAACACAAACATGCCAGTATCAGATGAATGACATGAGCACAATGCAAATTAAGATGCCAAGTCTGTTTGCATTTTCATCCAATATATTCTGAACTTGGTCTGAAATGTAATCCATGAATGTATTGATTTATGATTTGATTCAGGTTGAAGGCAAATAATGAAGTATCACTTCTCAGTTTACAAACCTGAAAGATACAAATTGTTTTCATTTTTACAAGTACTTCTTCCACAAAAGCATTTAGCACTTTGTTTTACAATCAGTTCCATTTGACCTGTAAGATTTGTTTCTGAATGTTGCCTATTAACAGCAGAATCTTGTAAATGTCCAAGTGATGTGGACAATGTTGAAATTTGTGGCAGAATTGAGCAAGAAATCAGAGGCCTAGATCAACATTGGTTGAATTAACTTGAATTGCTAATTAAGGAAGACTATAGCATGATGAACACCTATCAGTAGTCCTTCTCGCCTCACTAATACTCAGCTTCCTATCATACCTAACTCACCAAAAAAGATAGACATCAAGGAAATCAGAGTGGGTACATGGTGACTTCAGCTTCCACTTACTCCAAAACAACCTGTACATTGGAGACTGGGCACCAACATCTCAGGGCATGCCCTTTGTCAATGTCTGCCCATGGAGGCCAGCATCAGCCAAGCAGCAGCCACAACATGTCATGCCACATCTTGACTCAGTTATAGTGTGAAAAATGATTTATATACTGTACTTTGGAGCTCCCCAACACTTGACATTGCAATGTTGCTGCTATGCTTTATCCATATGGACACATGCAGCTCAAGGATTGGAACATAGTGCATCTCAGGGCTCTTAGTTTGCTTTTTCATGCTCACTGACATAACAGCTACTTGGATGCTCACACCATCTCTGCTGTACTGTGCCTTGCCTTTTTTCACATTGGTGCCTCATTCAGAACTTGAAATCTCACAATATTCCCTTCTTGACTTGCCCTTTAGTGCAGACAAAAAATCAGGCAGTCTGTAATATTTTCCAGAAATTATCTTTCCAGTGTGCAGACAGATTGTTGTCTGGCATTATACTAGATTAATGTCACATCTGCAGTATGTGCCAGCAGCTTATGCACTAAATACACTGAATGTGCACTTCAACTAATGACCACGCCACAAAGTCTAAGGGAAGTTGACCTCAGTCAAGCTTATGGGGTCGATGGCCAGTCAGAGGATATCAGCACAGTAGGTCAATGGCATTGTCTGATATCTATCCAATCTGCTACTGGGAACATTCGGGTTTAGCGGTTCTTAGCATTACAATCTAGAAGTGGCCTACAGTCTGTCCTTCAAATCAAGTCAAACAGTCTGGTTCCAGGCTTGGCTCCTCATGCTAACTGCCAAGTTGTCTGTGAAGACAGCTAGATGCGCACATGTCTGCATGTGTGTGGTACAGATAGTCCTTGGTGGAACCCTTCAACCGTTGATCTAGTTTGCCTAGTGACTCGAACAAAACTACCTGCTGTAGATGTATGTTGTACAAGCCATTTGGCACACATACAGTCAGAAATTTTAGATGTAATAGAAATAATAAAACTTCCTATTCTCCACTGCCCTCGCACCCCATCGCCCCTTTCAGTTCACCCAACTATACTTTTGATTCATAGCCAATACTCCGTTTAATTTGTAATCTTCAATGACATTTTAAAGACGGCTTGAGGCTAGGATTTGTATTCAACACAGTTGATCACTGCATGAAGTTCACATCCAGAATTCTCTGATTACAGACGCCTTTAACCAGCATTGTGTAAGTGGCTGATAAATGCAGATCTCACATTGCTTACGAACAGCCTGATCCCTGAGGGAAAAAAAATATTCTCCACCCACCCTGATGTGGCTGCAGCCATTTTTTATTTTCATTCTGCATTTATGACTGAAATAGGATGGAAGGCATCAAAGACAGGTCTGCATAGTGTGATTTGCAGGCCCAACATGTCTGTCTAGGTGACCAATTCCCGCCGCTTCCCCGAACCTGTAGGCTCCTTTCTGCTATTACCTCCCTGTCAACCCTATCAGGTTTGAGTTTCCCAAAATTCTCACCCAACTTTTATATTTCATCCCCCCACTTTATCCCTTGGGCTCCAGGCCTACATCTTAGCTATGCCAAACTTCATTTTGCACTGCCCTTGTTAAAGCCATGGTTGCAGTGACTGTTCTGCAGTATCCACCCCTTTCCGCAGTATCCCGTGCCCTCCCATGCTTTATTGTCTCTGCCCTCTTTATATGTTGAGTTGCTCCTTCACAATTAAAGTACACTCTGAATTTTATCATACTACCTCCAATCCCCAAAATTCATTTACCCAACTTCCCCGCCACTGTGATAGCCCCGATGGACCCTCTTCAACAAACAGATCCCCAGGACTGACCATTGCCTACCAACCTCACTGACTTGAACTGATAGTCCTGCCTGATGACAAACAATCCCCTGATATCTGTGCAGTAACCTGACTGACATATTGCTAATCTTTGACTCTGAGGAATGCTGCGTAAACTTCGCAAATAGCAACTCTTGGTGCCATCTACCACTAGCCAATTGACCTAAGTTTGGAAATGCATTTCGTAAGTTAATTTCTCCTCCTGAATTGGAGAATATAGGAATTCCGAATTGTAATAGTATTCATTGACCAGTTACAGAACTTTTTTGTGCCATTACACAAAGTACTTGTTATTTAAAAAATTTAGAATTTTAATGTATTTTATAATTTAAATCAAACAAGGATAAGGAATTTCATTTATGATTACTGGTTACTGTAAGCCATTTATAGAAACTAAAAGAATAATATTCTACTCTACAAGCCTAGATTTATACAATCATGATTTTATTTTTCTGGAGAGCAAAGAATAGGATGATTGTTTGCTGCTACACAATATCTATGCTAATGCATTTTTACTTGATCGTAGTTGCTGACTCCGTGCCAAAATAATCAAACTGTTAGCATCTTCTTTTCTTAAAGGAAATGCCAATTTAAACAGTATGAGTTGGTTTTCTTCCATTTCAGTCTAGATGAGTACAAGACGATGAGCTTCAACTTCATATCTCTCTTTGGAAATACATTTTTTTCTGGCATGCTTTAGCCATGTTATGACAACAATGAATGGAAATAGCTTGTACTTAATTCATTTTTAGCCAGATTTATTAAAATTTAATTTAAAATTAAAGTTATTAAAATTATTCCTAGGTTCCAAATTCAAAGAGGGCAAGGTGATCCCACCAGTTACAGGAGTCTGGGCCACTGCTTTAAAACAATGTTTCGTCAGGAAGGGTAAGGCTTTTGATTCTAATTATCCAAGAAGTTGAATTGTGGGAATGAAGTTTTTGAACATCGAGGATATGTGATCTAATAGAAGCTTATAAATGAACCTAGAGCAATTGATAGATGTTAAAAAGTTATTCCGATTTTAACTTCTTTGTACCATGCCAACCCTCCAAAACATGTATTTTGCTTTTTAATTTGTATTAAAACAAGGGGGTCAGTTAGCTTAGCTGGCCGGGTGGTTGGTCAGTGATGCCAACAGTATGGGTTCCATTGCTGCACCAGTTGTGGCTACCATGAAAGATTCTCATTCTTAATTCCGGCCCTTGCCTGAGATGTGGTGACCATCAGGGTAAACCATCACCAGTCGTCTCTCTCTAATGAGACAGCAGCTCTATGAGCTAGCTGGACTATGGTAACTTCATTATTACAAAATGGAAAAGGAAAGAGTTGTATTTATAGATCTTGTCATGATCACTGCTCAAGGCATTCCACAGCCAACAAAAGTATGTTTTGAAAAGAAGTCACTTTTGTAATGTAGGAAATACAATATTTCATTTGTGCTCAGCAAATGCACATCTTATTGCAACATGATAATGACCAGATTGGGTAGATGTCATAACTGTGCAGAATCTCTGAGTTAGTGGAAAAATTTTGAGGCACCAATTACAATGTAATTAGACACTAGAGAGGTGGATAGCCCTAAGCATAACTTTGGTGATATGTCATAATATTAACTTGTTTAAAGTCATTAATTTTATGTACATCATGCAAAGACTTTGAAGATGCTCAAGACAAGAACAAATAATTTGTTGGGAGTACTGACTAGAAATATTAACTCTCTCTTTAATTTCTTTCTTATGATAACTTTAACTGTTCTATATAGGAGAAACTACTACTTGTTCCTGAATTCATGCATAGGCAAAACTGTTTCTTTAAAGTTAGACATTTAAATTGAGGCTAAGTAGGCTAAGAAGTGAACAGGAGATTCATCTGTATCACGCCATGAAAGTGTGAGACAAATACTTGTCTTGAACTTGACTCCACTTGCCTGAAGCCGTCAGTCCCTGCATCATGATTTGTATTGCCAATTTAAATTCCATGAAAGTTCGTTTTACTAACATTTAAATGGAAACTCGCCTTGGCACTCTTATCACTGACTCAGAGTTCTAATGTTTTAAAACAAACAAAGAGAAAGTAATAGTCAGATGAAGCATCCATTCTAAGCCAGCAAAAAGAATAATCTACTTGCATCATGTCCAACATTAAATTCTGTATTGTTGATCCAATTATGCTTTATTGGACTTTCAGTAGATTTGTCTTGTGAAAATTTCTTTGGTTTTTGGAGCTATAATTAAACCTACATCCTGTTCCATTTGGGTATCCATTTGAATTAGAATCATCTACATAGTTGGCTTTTACTATTGTTTTTTAAATGTTGAACAAATTATCCTATTAACTAATGATCAACCTTTAGTTCATTCATTTTAATTACTAATTTTGTAAAGTAATATCTCTGGATTGCTAGATTCTCTTGTTCTAGGCCCCTACTGATCTCAGAAAATGTTAAAGGGTAGTGACATCCTATATTTATTTTCCCTTCTCCCATTTCTCATCAATTCCACCTTCTGGGAAAATGCGTGAAAGATCAGCTGAGATTTTTTAAGTAATGTATGTGCAATGGCTGATTCTTGTCCTTCAACTGAAAGGCATGGTCTGATCATTCTGTGGCAAAATGCAAATAATATAGTTTAAAATTGCATTAACAGAGCATTCATATGGTGCTGTTCTTCCTGCTCATCATCTGAATGCTTCAGGCAGATTTCCAGTTTACAAGTTCACCTCACTAACAGTAGAAAGTAAAAGAAAAGTATTCTGTCTGCACTGGTGTAAATCCACATTTAATTCATAAATGGGCACTGAATTATCCAGAGTTAAAAAATGCAACATTACTCAATCACCTTAATGCCAACACTGTCTAGATGAGGAATTAATTATTCTCAACTCTTTTTATTCATCCATTTTAATACATTTTCCCATTTCATTAATAGTAAAATCTTACTTATTTTAGTCTTGATAAGTGGTGATTATATACTATAGTTACTTTGTAGATGATAAATGGTGATTAGATACTGTAGTAAGTTTGCAGACAGCAAAAGTGAACCCACTGGGAATGCATTTGTTTATTGAGAGCTGACAGTTTTATAGCCTGCATAAACTTGTTCTTGTGCTAGTAGTAGGAGCAAAGATGATTGTATGCATGTGGCAACATAAGAGTGATTAGTGGGTTGTTTTATTATCTCTGTAGGACAGTATCTTACTGGCATCTATAAACTTAAATAACTGGGTTTAAGATCAATTATTTTAGTAAATAATTGTTCTGAAATTAAATAACTGTATAAGTAAAGACAATTGACAAGACTATTCTTATTGACTTCTGAACCTTTACCTTTTAGCTAGTTGTTATATTCTCAAGCTGTAATGTGGGGGTGGGAGAAAACTACTAAATTAAACTTTACAGGCATTGCTGCTTAAAGATAGAGTAAGCAGCTTTGTGATGCATTTATTTTCTTGCATTTTGGAAGTATTTATTTTCTTTTCATTGTGGTGTCTAACATATGCAGAAGCCCAAAACCATGTTTACAAGTCTCTAAATCAAGCTAGCTGGAAATCTGCACTCGATAGGTTTTATTTTTCCAAAACAGTGTTTGCACTCAGCTGAGGTGGAATTTAGCAGAGTCAAAGATTAAGAACTCCCAGGTGTGCAGAGGGGCAATACTGAAGTTAAATAAGCTAAAACCGGCAGAGGAGCACTGCTGGAGCTAAACCAGCTAAAACTGCACAGTTCACACATGTAATCTACCACTTGACCACTGATTCCTGTTCACAAAAGTTGTTGAAATGACTCTCCTTATGCCCAATTTCCTGCCCTTCTCAATAACGTAATTCCCCTACTGATCAAGAATCTATCTTAGCCTTAAAATACACACAAGGACTCTGCCCTACAACTCTCTGGCAAAGAATTTCAAAGACTCTCAAATCTCCAAGAGAAGAAATACCTCCTAATCTTAGTCTTAAATTGGCAGTAACACCCTCCTCCTACACCATGAGGCAGAACATCCTCTTAGTTTTACCCTGTCACTTAAGAATCCTGTATATTTCAATGAGATCACCTCTCATTCTTCTAAATTCTAATGAATGGTGACCCAGTTTAAACTTTGCTCATAAAACAATCCCTCCATACCAGGGATCATTCTAGTGAATCTTGTCTGAACTGCTTCCAATAAAATAATAACTTAGATAAGCAGATTAAAGCTGCTGAAAGTACTCCAGATATGGTCTCAGCAACACCTTATACTGTTGCAGTATGGCTTCTCTACTCTTATACTCCAAACCACTTGAAGTAAGGGCCAACGTTCCATTAGCCTTCCTTGATGAACTGCTTCACCTATGTGCTAGCTATTTCCGTTGAATAAAAGCTTCCATCAACTGGAGGTGAAAAGCTTCATCATGAGCTGCTTTCTTCTCTGCATTCTAAACAAAGTTGCTACTGAGCTCAGGTTGGATGACATTGCATCCTTTCACCCAGCAACCTGCTATCAAAACTACACTTTTCAATACTGTTTACTGAGGAATATTGAAAATTTGCTTTTAAGTTGCAGATCTTATTGACGTCTGCGTGAGATTGGCTGCAACTAATTGTTAATCAGGCAATAGCGAATTTAAAAGAATAGAAAGGTCAGTTTCTCACATTGGCTGTATTACTGATCTTGTTATGAAACAGATGCTCCTGGTTTAAGTCTTATACCAGAATTTGTTGACCATGGAAGAATCTGTGGAATAATTCAAATAGACGATGTTAGAAATTGTGTTTTCATTTACTGTTTTGAATTTTTAAAATTAATGGAAAGTTAATCATAGAAAAGCATAAAGAACATCATAATTTACAATAATCTGTATTACAGAGTTTACAGATTATGTTGTCTTTTATGGCCTGGACATGTATCTTGTTTTACATTTGCTTTCTTTCATATGGTTATTTACATTTCTGAATAACTGTAGAGTTTTATTTTTCCTTGCTATTGTGGCTTGTGCAAAGCATTAAAGTGCTTACCTTATGTTGTTCTCAGGAGAGTGATCAGCTTTCAGTTAGCTGCTGAGTGTGACGAGTCAATGTTCAGGAAGCCAATTACAGTTCAACATACCATTGGTTGACCTGAAATTTGAAGTATGTCTCCTTTAAATTGATTTATGGGATATCTTATGCTCTGAAGTTTTAATGGTATCACAGATCCACCATCCCCCTACCTCTCTTCATTCAGTTAGAAGTTCATGTTTGTATCATTAGGCTAAATTGAACTCTGATGTTTAGAGCCACATTGTAATTCCACAGAGAGAATTTCAATCACAGGGAGCAATAACAGATAATAAAAGTTTCCTTAAAGATTTATTCATAGTCTTAAGAATTCTAAAATGAGTGATCTCAACATCATCTATCAGAGAGTACTTGATATGATGTGCTCATAGATACAAAATAATAGGTTTTATGATTATTTCTTTATGAATAAAGACAATCATTATAAAATTTAAGCCTGGTGCAAAATCAGAAACTTTTATTTTTATTTCTTTACGCATACTAGTGATTACAGATCTATATAACCCTGTGAAATTATTAAACTTTAGTAGCCACAATAATTAGATTTGTGTATGGGACAAATGATGCACAGTCCTTTTCGGTTCATCAGTTTTGGACATCAAGTATTCCCAGATTAGATATATTGTGCATGGGATTGTAAACTGATTCACCCAGCTTTGTAATAATTTTGATTTCTTACACCAATTATCCTTACGGTATCTGCTAATGAAGCTTTCAGTTTATCTTAATGTCTATGTGGAGCTTTGCACGTTCTCCTCGTTTCTGCGTGCATTTCCTCCGGGTGCTCCAGTTTCCTCCCACAGTCCAAAGATGTGCAGGTAAGGTGGCTTGGCCGTGCTAAATTGCCCATGGT